CTATCTTGCACTGGTGTACTATATCTTGCACTGGTGTATTCTATCTTGCACTGGTGTACTATTCCTTGCACTGGTGTACTATATCTTGCACCTGTAACTATATCTTACACCTGTGAACTAAATTTTGCACTGGTGTACTGTATTAAAAAAAAATAAAACTATACATAAAATGAGGTAGGTTGCTTAAAGGTACTTTCAGGTACACTGAAGGTAATTTGCACTAGGAGACACAGGCAAAGCTAAGAGCACAATGGAGCAAGGGTGGTGAGGCTAGGCCACCTGGGTTATAAAGAAAAAGTAGAGTAATGTTCAGGACTATTTTACAGGTAACTATCCACAATCTCTGTACCTAACACCTGCTAATTTCACTGATGGTAATGAGATAATCCTTTCCCTTAAAACTAAGGCTAGTGCCTTCGAGGAGATATCTTGCTCTGGTGTACTATATCTTGCATTGGTGTACCATATCTTGCACCTGTGAACTATATCTTGCACCGGTGTACTATATCTTGCACTGGTGTATTCTATCTTGCGCCTGTGAACTATTATCTTGCACTGGTGTACTATATCTTGCACTGGTGTACAATATCTTGCACTAGTGTTCTATATCTTGCACTGGTGTATTCTATCTTGCACCTGTGAACTATATCTTGCACTGGTGTACTCTTATCTTGCAGTGTACTGGTGGGGGTCGAGCTGTGTATTTGGGTTCAGATAACTGGTGTGCAAGTTCCCAAGAAAGTAATTATCAAAAGATTGCAGCCAACCAGGTAGACCACAGGTACATGCAAGTTTGCAAGCCAGTCATTGCCATGTCTGACCCAAGTATGAGATGGAAATATTATCTGATTTTTACCTGTTTTACCCGAGGGTCACTAACCCCAGTTGGCCTCGACGAGGACAGGATGCCGGCGGCTTGTCAAATGTCCCCCTCATTTGCCTTGGTGAATTTATAGCTAGTTTTTGATCCACACCGTGTAATCCTAAATATATATAATAGGGTAGCAGCACATTGCTGTGTATACCTAAGCTTGTTAATAAGAATAAAAACAAATTAGTTGCGTCAACCCATGGCTCGTATTCCAAGAATGTGGAACCATGTTGGCATGTTACGGAACCATGTTACGGACAACCACCCGTAGAATATTATTGAAAACATCTTGATAACTTTAAAAATACAAATTATTTATATGTCAGAAGAAAGAGGGCAACATAATCTATATTTAAAACTTCTATCAGTAAAATATTTTAAGTAAAATCGATGATATTTGTAATTGCATAAAAAGTTGTATTTTTCATCGCTTGTTGAACTTGTAACCCGCAATATTCGTCTCAGAACAATGCTTATTTCACGTAGATACTGTAATAAACAAAAAGTGTTTTGTACATCACAAGAAAGATAGAAATATAAGCTACATTTTAAATACCTTGCCATAGGCATATTTAAAGTTAAAGCAAAGATAAATGTGTTTTTATAATGGCGACCATCAGCTTGTCGGCCATGGGCGATGGGAAACGGCTCTGGCGAGGTTGTGTATTGGCCATACTCGCTTAACTCATGGTCACTTGCTGGAGCGCCGCCCTGCTCCTTATTGTCTGAATTGCATTGTCCCTCTTACGGTCGTTCGACATATCCTTGTTGAATGTCCTGACTTCCGGGACGAGCGTGTCTTGTTTTCCGACTGTCCCCCGCGGTCGCTTGTCCCTCGATAGTATTCTTAATTGGTGACTCAGATACTTTTGATATCGTTTGCCTTATACGTTTCTGTTATCGTATTGGCATCCTTGGTGATATTTAACGCCCTCTGATTATTCCTCACATTTGATGGTGCTACATAGCCTTCCCGGTTTGGTGCCTTTTGATAATTACTTACTTGTCGGCCATGGCGTGCAGAATCTTAAACGCACTGGCCGATATATAATAATGAATTCATTGTGTTGGGGGACAGGAAGCCAGCATGTATTCATACACTTAGGCTTATATCGAGGTACCCCCCCCCCCCTCCAAGGTGGAATTAATAATAATAATAATATTTTATTTAGGAAAAGTACATACATAGATGCTGTTACAAACATACTGTTGGATTTATAGATAGAGCTATAGTACAGTATATACAATACTGTACCTAAAACCACTAATATGCACAGTGTTTCGGGCAAGGTATGAGGGAAAACACTTAGACTAAAACTTAATAGTAATTGGGAGTAAAGTATAAATTGTGTTAAAAGAAAGGGGAAACATGGCAAAAATCAGCAATTGTACAAGTTGGTCAACAAACAGCATTGTTTAGAATAGCAAGACATGGGTTGACATTTAGGGGGTAAGGTAGGTTACATGGAGTTAATTAGGTAGTACTTAGTTCTACTCTTAAACTGGTTGTTAGCGGTACAGCCTTTAACATGATTAGGTTGGACATTCCACATTCTGAGTCCCTTGATTTGTAGAGCATTTCTAGTTTGGTTAAGTCACACTCTTGGAATATCAAATAGGTATTTGTTTCTGGTGTGATGCCCATGGGTTGTTACAACCTTCTAGGAAGCGTTTAAGATCAGGATTGACATTACAGTTAAGAGTTTTAAATATATAGAGTACACATGAGAGGATGTGCATTGACTTAATATCTAACATATTTAGAGATTTGAGTAAGGGTACCGAGTAATGTCTGGGGCCAGAGTTGGATATTGTCCTAATAGCACCTTTGTGTTGAGTAATTAGAGGACGTATATGATTTTGGATAGTAGAACCTCAAGCACAAATACCATATTTGAGATAAGGATAGTACAAGAATGTAACAACTCTTGTATATATCTCAAAAAAAAAAATGAGATTAATAGAGCGTCATCAGGGCAGGGCGAGGTACATAAAATCTGATCTTAAAAAGAATGCCAACACTTTTTTTTTTAACTTTTTTTATATATTCAAATTCAGCTTGTGGTCAAAGAGAACGCCAAGGAATTTGCCATATACTTTGTTACAAATTTGGGTATTGTTTATCCTGAGATTTATTTGATTTGAGGATTTATTGCCAAACAAAAATATAGAAAGTTTTGTCAATGTTGTGGATGAGTTTGTTGGCAGTTAGCCAGAAATGGACTTTATTTAGCCCAGTATTCACTGTGACATTTAGAGCAAGGAGGTCAGGACAGGAGTAAATGAAGGTCGTGTCGTCAGCAAATAGAATTGATTTGAGGTGTTGGGAGGCATTTGGAAGGTTATTAATGTAGATGTACTTTCTACTTCCTTTCCGAATGTAGTAGTACTTTCTACTTCTACTTTCATTGCATACATATTAATTTCATTGTACATATTAATGTACAACCGGGGGGATACTTAATTGTGTAATTAACAGAGAAACGCAAATGAAACCTACAATATTATATGCCTTGAGAAAGACCGAAATATAATCGTTATTGTGAGGGCATAACAGGAAGTATATATAATAAAATAAATAAATATAAATATGTTTATTCAGGTAAGGTACATACATACAAGTGATGTTACATTAATGGATTGATATATAGATAGAGCTAGTACATACAATGCCTAAAGCCACTATTACGCAATGCGTTTCGGGCAAGAAAAACATTAATATCTAGAACTTAATACTAATTGAGCATAAAGAATAAAAAGTGTTGAAAACAAATACAAATAAAGATTAAAAAAAGGGGGAACATGACTGAAAAAGCAGCACAAATACAATAGGTTGACAAACAGTGTTGATTAAAAAAAAAATAATAATAATAAAATAAAATAACAGACATGGGTTGACAATAAAGGAGTGAGGTGGGTTACAGGGAATTTATTAGGTAGTGTTTAGTTTTTATCTTAAACTGGTTGAGAGAGGTACAGTCTTTAACATGGTTGGGAAGGTCATTCCACATTCTGGGTCTCTTGATTTGTAGAGCATTTCTAGTTTGATTAAGTCGTACTCTAGGAATATCAAAACTGTATTTATTCCTGGTGTGGTGCTCATGGGTTCTGTTACAACCTTCAATGAAGCTTTTGAGGTCAGGATTGGCATTACAGTTCAGCGTTTTATATATGTATAATACACAAGAGAGAATGTGCAGTGACTTAATATCTAACATATTCAGAGATTTGAGTAAGGGTACCGAGTGATGTCTGGGGCCAGAGTTGGATATTGTCCTAATAGCAGCTTTGTGTTGGGTAATGAGAGGACGTAAATGATTTTGGGTAGTAGAACCCCAAGCACAAATACCATAGTTGAGGTATGGATAGATGAGGGAGTAATAGAGTAACCAGGGCAGGGCGGGGTACATAATATCTGATCTTAGAAAGAATGCCAACAGTTTTTGAAACTTTTTTTGATATATTTAGAATGTGACCCTGGAAATTCAGCTTGTGGTCGATGAGAACGCCAAGGAATTTGCCATCTAATTTGTTACAAATTTGGGTATTGTTTATTTTGAGATTTATCTGATTAGAGGATTTATTGCCAAACAGAATATAAAACGTTTTGTCAATGTTAAGGGTGAGTTTGTTGGCAGTTAGCCAAAGATGGACTTTCTCTAGCTCAGTATTTACTGTGGCATTTAGAGCAAGGGGGTCAGGACTGGAGTAAATGAAGGTTGTATCGTCACATATCTTATCTATAGTATATAATACTTAGTATATAATTAGAGTATATAATAATTATTATTATATTCGGAGAAAAAAAGATCTCCAATCGATTTTAGGAAAGTCCCTATGAAAACTCAATTAAAAACTGATGTATCTTTTAATATTATAATAATACATCTATTTGGGATTCGAGAAGCTACCACTGGAGTGGTCAACTAGTGGCCCTCAGGTAAATTCAGGTAAATACTTGTCAATATTTAACACACAGTCTAAACATTAAGATTTGTTTATAAAGTGTATAAACACGAGTAAATCATTTGATTATATAATAATAACTAGACCGAAGGCACATGTGTAAATTGATACATGTGGCTGGGAACGTTGTTGTGTAATACGGAGTTAATAACTGTCATGACGGAGCGCAACCCGGATGTGTCTAGCAGTAGGGAGGCGGAGCGCCCGTTGTCAACACCCAGACCTGTGTGTGGTACACCAGCAGGTGTGTATGGTACACCAGCAGGTGTGTATGGTACACCAGCAGGTGTGTATGGTGGTGTATAGAACACCAGATGTGTATGGTGGTGTATAATACACCCGGTGTATTATGATGTATTATACATGCATTGGTAACATGGAGATGTGTGTATGGTGTAATATACTCTAGGTGTATGTTGTGGTGTCATGTAATTACCTAAGTGTAGTTACAGGATGAGAGCTACGCTCGTGGTGTCCCGTCTTCCCAGCACTCTTTGTCATATAACGCTTTGAAACTACTGACGGTCTTGGCGTCCACCACCTTCTTACCTAACTTGTTCCAACCGTCTACCACTCTGTTTGCGAAAGTGAATTTTCTTCTATTTCTTCGGCTGCTTTGTTTAGTTAGTTTAAATCTATGACCTCTTGTTCTTGAAGTTCCAGGTCTCAGGAAATCTTCCCTATCAATTTTTATCAATTCCTGTTACTATTTTGTATGTAATGATCATATCCCCTCTTTTTCTTCTGTCTTCTAGTTTTGGCATATTTAATGCCTCTAACCTCTCCTCGTAGCTCTTGCCCTTCAGTTCTGGGAACCACTTAGTGGCATGTCTTTCCACCTTTTCCAGTTTGTTGATGTGCTTCTTAAGATATGGGCACCACACAACTGCTGCATATTCCAGCTTTGGTCTAACAAGTCGTGATCAGTTTCTTTACACTGAACTGCAATGTCAATCATGACCTTAGAAGCTCCCTAGAAAGTTGTAACAGAAATCATGTGCATCACACCAGAAACAAATACCTATTTGATATTCCAAGAGTACGACTTAACCAAACTAGAAATGCTCTACAAATCAAGGGACTCAGAATGTGGAATGTCTAACCTAATCATGTTAAAGGCTGTACCGCTAACAACCAGTTTAAGAGTAGAACTAAGTACTACCTAATTAACTCCTTGTAACCTACCTTACCCCTAAATGACAACCCATGTCTTGCTATTTTTAAACAATGCTGTTTGTTCACCAACTTGTACAATGGCTGATTTCTGCCCATGTTCCCCCCTTTTTTATTTTTTATTCCTTTTTTTCAACACAATTTATACCTAATCCCAATTAGGTATAAACAATTATAGACCAATATCAAATCTACCCATTCTATCAAAAATATTTGAAAAAATTATTTACAAACAGCTCTATTCCTACCTCGTAAAATTCGACATACTCAGCCCCTGCCAGTTTGGCTTCCGGTCCCAAAAGAGTACCAATGATGCAATCATTAGTCTCCTTGACATTATCTACTCAGCCCTTGACAAAAATGAGTTTCCGATTGGACTCTTCATTGACCTAAGAAAAGCCTTTGATACTGTTAATCACAACTACCTCTTACTTAAACTCCAGCATTATGGAATCCGAGGCCTTGCCCTTGACTACATCCGATCCTATCTTAGTGACAGACACCAATATGTAACCATCAATGATACAACTTCTTCCACTCTACCAATTACCGTTGGAGTGCCACAGGGCAGCATCTTAGGACCTCTTCTATTTCTTATATATATAAACGATCTGCCTAATGTCTCTAATATTCTCAAACCTATATTGTTTGCTGATGATACTACCCTTATCTACTCAAACCTCAACCCACATACACTAAATAATGTTGTGAATAATGAATTAAAAAAAGTCCACTTATGGATGTCAACGAACAAACTAACATTAAACATCGAAAAGACTTACTACATCTTATTTGGAAGCAAATCATCAAATGCAATTCAGCTACAGATAGACAACATTAACATCAGTAATAAAAATGATGGCAAGTTTCTTGGCCTATTCCTAGACAAGAGACTCAACTTCAGCACCCACATTCAACACATAACTAAGAAAGTCTCTAAGACAGTTGGTATACTCTCCAAAATCAGATATTATGTTCCTAACTCTGCTCTCCTCTCACTATATTATGCACTAATCTACCCCTATCTTAATTATGGTATCTGTGCATGGGGGTCTACCACTGCAAACCACCTTAAGCCCATCATCACACAGCAAAAATCTGCTATCAGAATAATAACTAACTCTGCTTTCAGACAACACTCAGCTCCCTTGTTTAAATCTCTAAACTTGCTAAATATTAACTCCCTCCACACATTCTCTTGTGTCAACTACATTTACAAAACCCTGTTCTTAAATGCAAACCATGCTCTGAAACTCTCCCTGGACAGATGTAATAGGACCCATTATCACCACACCAGAAATAAATATCTCTTTGATATCCCCAGGGTCAAACTTAATCTGTGTAAACACTCTATGCAAATTAAGGGACGTAGTCTATGGAACTCACTCCCTAGTGAATTGAAAAACTGTAAAACTTTTGCCTTATTTAAAAGCAAAACCAAAAAGTACCTAACTTCATCTATTTAGTTTCCTACACTGAGCTTTAAATTTGCTCTGTACCTAGTGTTACCCAATCTCCTAATTTTTATGTAATATCAAACAACCTTATCATTGTGTTCATTGCTGTCTTCTTTTATGTGCTAGCCATATGCTGTATTGTGACTACCAATTTTTTGTCAACTACCATTCAAGCTGTCATTGCAATCAATCTTATATTGTTTCTGCTGTATTGTGCCTACCAATTTGTTGTCAACTACCATTTTAAGCTGTCATTGCAATCAATCATAGCTACCTATGTGCTTTAATATACTGTACCTATAATTTTCTCTCATCTTTTTTTCATTCCATGTAATCTGTTATCATTTTTTGTCTATAAATTTTGCAAGTATTTACCTCCTTAAAATTTTCTTAGATTAAGGACCTGCCCGAAACGCTGTGCGTGCTAGTGGCTTTACAAGACTGTAATTACCATATTTGTATCCTCACATTCCTTATGTACATTCTTGTATATGCATAAATAAATAAATAAATAAATTAGTATTAAGTTTTAGTTTAAGTGTTTTTTCCCCTCACACCTTGCCCGAAACGCTCTGCGTATTAGTGGCTTTATGTATTGTGTGTACTACTGTAGCTCTATCTATAAATTCAACATTATGTTTGTAAATCAACTATGTATGCACTTTTCCTTGAATAATTTTTTTTTTTTTTTTTAATTTTTTTTTAGTATTTTGTCATCCATGTATTTAAAAGGAATTTTGTAGTTAAAAAGTGTAGCATAGGCTCCTCTCTCAGTGTTATTAATGTGGTCCTCAGGTGATAGTTTTCTAGTTTTCTATTTAGAACCACCCCTATAGCTCTTCCTCTGTCAGAATTCTTTAAAGATTTTTCACATAATTTATAGGTTGTGTGGGGTCTATGTTCTCCTATTCCACAGTCCATAACATGGCATTTATTCACTTTAACTTCTGTTTGCCAAGTGGGACTCCATATACTTATTTTGTCCAGGTCTTCTTAGATGACAATCATCTAAGTTTCTTATCCTTCCTATTATCTTAGCATCGTCAGCAAACATGTTCATATAATTCTGTATTCCATCTGGTAGATCATTTATGTAGGCAATGAACATCACCGGTGCAAGAACTGAACCCTGTGGTACTCCGCATGGTATATATATTTTTATTAATATGCTATATAATATATACTTGGAATTGTGTATTATACACTAGGTGGTTATTGTGGTGTATTATACACTAGGTGGTTATTGTGGTGTATTATACATTAGGTGGGTATTTCAATGTATTATACACTAGGTGGGTATTGTGGTGTATTATACACTAGATGTTTATTTTGGTGTATTATACACTAGGTGGGTATTTCAGTGTATTATACTCTAGGTGGGTATTTCATTGTATTATATACTAGGTGTTTATTTTTGGTGTATTATACAATAGGTGTGTATTTTGGTGTATTATACACTAGGTGTGTATTGTGGTGTATTATACACTAGGTGTGTATTGTGGTGTATTATACACTAGGTGTGTATTGTGGTGTATTATACACTAGGTGTGTATTGTGGTGTATTAGTAGTAGGCATCCTTCAGTCTCGGGAGACTATTGAGTTGCGCTCTGGTTGTCGAGGCTGGAGTGTCCTCTCCAGGGCGCAAAGCCTGGGTAAGTAGATATGGAGGACAAGCTGTTACCCATGCTGCAAGTCCCCCCTCTCCATATTGCTGAAGTTATCCAATGGAAAGGCAAATGCCAATACACGTGGTTTCAGCACCGTCACAGGAGCTGCCAGAACGAGGTCGAAGTCAACAACGAACTGCCTTAGGGGCTCCAACTCCGGATTTTTCCTCGAGGTTGACTCCTGAAGCCTTTCCCAAAAGAGGGGTATGGCCGCAAGGCAGCGGAGGTTTAAAATCAGGGTTTTCCTTCCCCTAGATGGGCTGCTTTCCCAGGCTATCGAGTCCCATTTACTCCGAGCAACTGGTTTTAAAGCGCCAGAGGCATGCCCTTGCTCCTTGTCCTATCAGTAAAAGCGGTTCCGCTGGACTTAAAAACTAAGCCACCCGTGCAGGCCAGGAGTTGGACTTGGTTGTCAGAGGCTATTGGAGACGCATGCTGTATAGGAGCTTTTTATAGGTCATGGGAGCTTGTTCCCCCAATTACCACCCCCTGGCTATGACAACCCCTTGGAACCAAGGGGTGTATTGTGGTGTATTATACACTAGGTATGTGTATTGTGGTGTATTATACACTAGGTATGTGTATTGTGGTGTATTATACACTAGGTATGTGTATTGTGGTGTATTATACACTAGGTATGTGTATTGTGGTGTATTATACACTAGGTATGTGTATTGTGGTGTATTATACACTAGGTATGTGTATTGTGGGGAATTATACACTAGGTATGTGTATTGTGGTGTATTATACACTAGGTGTGTGTATTGTGGTGTATTATACACTAGGTGTGTGTATTGTGGTGTATTATACACTAGGTATGTGTATTGTGGTGTATTATACACTAGGTATGTGTATTGTGGTGTATTATACACTAGGTGTGTGTATTGTGGTGTATTATACACTAGGTATGTGTATTGTGGTGTATTATACACTAGGTGTGTGTGTGTGTGGTGTATTATACACTAGG